CCCCGTTCCCTCAGCTGAGCTGGAGCTGTCCAAACGAATCGCCCCATACGTGCGTGCCTTCTCCATTCTTTTTAATTGGGCTACTAATAAAAATTATGAAATATCGAAGTGCGAAATTTTAATTAAAAAAATGAATTCTATCCAACGTTGCAGACTCCACGGTAGCTCTCTACCGAAGGAGACGGAAGGCGTCCGCTGAAATTTCGAATTCCCGCAAAGCCAGGATTAATTTGAGACTGGTTGACCGCCACGCGAAACGACTGCGAAACAAATCTCTCCCAGTGTTAGGTTATTGAGAAAGTGTTAGGGCGAGTTCACAGCTGGCCCGACAATATGCTTTACAGACGATTCTAATATATTATTCAAAGTCTCGGAGACTATGCGAAGAAGACAGGCTGCTGCTTTCGAAGAAGTGGCTGCGATACCTGCCGTGGAGGGGGGAGAGGGGGGGTAGCGAGACTCGACTCTCTCACCCACCCGCCCCTCTTACTACAATTTCATTTGAATTATTAAACTTGCCATCTGGCGATTCGTTCGCGCTCGCAGGCACACAAGATCCTCGCAGGGTCAGCCCAATTAATTGAGCAATCAATCGTACTTTGATTTGCGTCCCTCGAAAACGTTTGCGTTGACGTATACGTATAATGCTAACGTCATGAGCATGATTCTGCGAGACAGTCCTGGGCTCTCAGGAGCCAGTTGAACTCTACTCAGTGGACTGAGCACGCTCCGATTCTGATGCGCATCTATAAAAGTCCAGTCGACCGGCCTTTACTCCCGTCTAATTATCAATTAGTTAATGAACAAAGTGTTTTATTAATCAATTTACTCGCTCGTGCCGTATGCACTAGACTTAATAGCTGCTGGTTATAGTCAAAATATATTGCTTCGTTAAATTTAACCGGCCGGTAATATCGACCGACGGTTGTGGCCCTTCCCGCAACCCACACGTTTTATACGCTCGTAGTAGTGAAACACTGGCACACCTGACGCTGTTCATTCATCTCAAGGAGCGACCCGAGTACACAGGAAAAATCCCTTAGGTCGAACAGGAAGTGTGAAACGTGCGTCGCGAGTCGCTCTCGCTGCACGGGAGGAGGACTGCAGTTCGAAGAGCCTGCAAAATAATTGAGAGGGAATTCAGGGCCGACTGGACCTTCGTTTCTCGTTTCTGCGCCGCTTCCTCAAAATAGTTGGCCTGATGCACCCTCAACTGGAATGCAGCCATTACGCTGGATCGCAGCGAGCGCGTTTCTTGTGCGAAGGGTTGCCCTTCGGCAGGCGCCCGAACTATTGCCGGGTTTTATATGGAAATTTGACAATACGTAAAACCCGCAGAGCCAAGGCGTTGCTGTCGTTGCTGCCAGTGAGGATGCCGCTGGAGCTTCGCGTCTTTCAGGTGAGCCGGCTTCGCCAGTATGAAAAACGGCATAAGCGATGCCAGTGGATTTACGGATTGTCCTGACAAGAAATCTCTTTAGTCAGCTCTCGGCTGAAATTGGGAAAAAGATGAGCAACAGCCGAAAGATAGATGGAGCGAGTGTGTCGCCGATAGCCGCGCGCTCCTGCAACGTTACGATTGAGCAATCGTTAAGTTCGCCTTAAGCTTATTTACATTTATTGAAGAACTCTTGAGCCTCAGAGAGCGACACGCGAGAACCAGCCGCGAGCCGCAACGGCTCGCATGGGACAGAAGCTGCCGTTCCACTCTCAGGCCTGCGGTTCGTCCCATCTGAGGAGGGAGGCCTCTGGCTCTTCTTCTGTGCGTGGACGTCGAAAGGACACGGACACGCGACACGCACTGACAAATGTGTGGAGAGAAATTTCTAGGAAGATTCGCTCGTCCGACTGGAGAAACTCTTCTCTCTCTCTCCTCTTTTCACTCTGCTCGCTCTTCCCTCAGTGCTTTCCCTCTTTTACGTATTCTTCTTCCTTCTCTCGTTCGTCTCGTGGCCCAAGTCGTGGAATGGACGAGCGTTCCGAGCTGCCGCTCGTCCTCGGTTCCGGATTATCTGAGGAAGTGTGAAAAGGCTTTTAACTCGAGATAATTTATTTAAAAGCCACTCCAGTGCGCCCGCCGAGAAATTCCCGATGAAACGACCTTAATTAGCGCGGATTTCTTCGTCCCTTCGTTGTTCGTTCTCGTGAATTCAGGTTCACCTGCAGAGGGCTATTCGAAATCAGCACGTCACAACGAGCGACGACTTTGGCTGAGCAGGATAAGACGAGCAGCAGAAGCGAGATGACGGCGTCCTATCGGCAGATTGCTAGTTAGGTAGCTCGCACAAGCATCCTGATTTTTTCATTTTTCTTTTTTTTTCTTTTTTTTTTCTTTTATAGGAATTTCATGTCTCCCTCTTTCGTAGCCCTTGACTCTCATGTCGAACGTAACGAGAGAATCACCACTTTTCTCGCGGTTCCCTTCTGATATTCGCTCGTCACCGAATTTTTCGAAAATACAAAGCGAATTTTTTTTTTCCTTTGTCGGACCATTTTCTCCAGCGCGCCCTCAAATTATCTCGTCAGAAATTCAACCCTCGTACATTCCCATTTCGCAAACTCGATCTCCCTTCGTGCACAAGAAGCGGCACCTCCGGCAGCCACCGTTGCGTCCCGCCCGCCACTCCTGCCGCGAGGGACCGACGGAACGAGAGACGCGGAAACCAAGAGACGACGAATGGCGCTCCTCGCTTCCGAGTATGTGTGACACCTCCTTCTCTCTCTCTCTCTCTCTCTCTCTCTCTCTCTCTCTCTCTTTGTGTCTGGCGAGCCGAAAGAGGGAGGGAGAAAGGGAGAGAGAGAGAGAATGCTCAGTCGCGCAGAAATCTTCCCACGACACCTTCTTTTGTTTCGACGCCCGAGAACAGTCAGAGACCTAACCTTACCAGACCTTACTCAACGTGGTGCTCGGCCCGATTGCCACCGAGAGACACAGCCCGACACAGACACAAAGTAAGGCACACAATCGCGCATCTTCGCGGAACGTGTACTTGCGGGAGCGTGGATGGCTTTCAAAGAGGAAGGACCGAAGGAGGTGCCGCGAAGGAACGACGAGAGGGAAGAGGTGAGGCGGCACTCGCGCTGTTCGCGCTACTCGCCCGACTCGCCCGACTCGCCCGACTCGCCCGACTCGGTACGACGACAAACATTTGTTACCTCTGTCGATCGATGTGAATTTAATAAATTCGTTCCTCGAGACCCTCTGTATCCAGCGACTCACCCTCCGAGCGATGAAGAGCTAACGCCCACTTTCGAAGAAATTGCCTGAGAACTCTAAACCCGTATTACGTGATGCGATCCGACGAGCGCTCCTCCACGTCCTATCGAAGACGGCACTACGCAATATCATGCGACAAGACCAAATCTCGTAATCTACTGTTTCGCGAGCACAGGAGAGACACAGAGAAAGACGGAGCAAGAAGACAGACACAGATAGTAATTGTAGTAGTAGCAGCAGCAGCAGCAACGTGCGTGCGTGCGTGCGTGCGTGCGTGAGAGAGAGAGAGAGAGAGAGAGAGTGGGCAAGAAAGAGAAAGTTTAATAATGCTGATCGTCAAGAAATCATCAATGTATATATTGGACCTTTTTATTGGAGAAGGCAGTGGGCAAGAAAGAGAAAGTTTAATAA